CAGTGGCATAATTTTTATTGTCCCTGAGCACACTTCCTGCCATGCAGATCAATAACCACATGGAAAATCTTTGGGCAGAGCACCATTTTTAATATGTCTCCTCCTCTTTCCCGAGCTACAGAAACACCAGTTAATTTCAGTTCCAGTCATATTTCTTCCATAGCGGACATACACTCACACAATTTGAACCTCAAAATGCATGGCTTGTTCTTCACACTTAAAGTGTTCATATTGTTGGTTTTAACCCTAGTGAGTCACCCAGAATCATGTATGAGTGGCCAGTCATAGATCATGAGCTTCTATCAATCAGTCTTGGGTTTAGTAATCTTAAGAGTGCATGAACTGCTCTTCCTGTGATGGCAGATCTATCATGTTAGTAGAAATGTTGGTAGAAGTTTTGTGGTTCAGAGAGGATTCTGGTATAAGGGGCATTTATTGACATTATGAATTCATCTAAATTTTAAAGGCTGCCTCATCTAGCCAAGATTCCAAGTGCTCATATCATAAAAAAAGATAATCATAAATATCTGTATTTACAGCCCTGGCCACAACAGAGTCCCTCTTGCTATGTCCGCAACCTTTTTTGATGCCAGTGTCTCTACCCCTTTGGACTAGGTGAACTTGTCAGCTGCTGCCAGGAATTGTCAAGAGCTAAATTCTGGTAGCTTTTCATCTAAGAGGACTATTGGGATTCTGGAAATGTGGAGATGTTGGTAGTGGCTGGGTGGGGGGTAGCACTAGAGTAGCAGACTACTGTGGACCCTCCCCCTTACAGAGTCCATTCGCCTTTTCCCTCTGCTATTTCCAGAGAGGGAGAAGACAACCACTTTGGGTTAATTCCATCTGCCAGTTTGGGTCTTGATTGTGGACTGTGGGTTTTCCCACTGAGTACTGATCCCCCCCCCCCGAGTGAGAGCCAAGGGAGGGGATTGGTTGGGTTGGGTGCATGAAGCAGAATCCCTAACAGCAGGTAAGAGCAGCAGGGAGGGATTCCTGTGAGTGTGAGTGTCTGTGGGTGTGTTTGTGGGTGGAGTGGTGTGGGGCACTGGGTACCCTGATGGTGCTGAGAGCCAATGAAGCTGAAGTGCCTTGGGGTGCCTGGCTCCCCCTCCCTGGGATGGATAAGATTAAGTGCTATGGGAGGGCCCCAGCCCTGGAAATTGAGGGGCCTGGATTGGGAGATGGTGCAACCTTTGGGGGGAAGTTGGTGGGCCAAAATATTATGGTGGTGACGGGCACGGGGAGATATGGTGGGAGATGGGGAATGAGCCATTCTCGGGGTATGCGGGACCAATGTCTTATACCAGTCTTGGGATAGGCCCATTCCAGCTCCTTGATCTCAGCCCCTTTACCTAGTCAGCAGACCTGCAGAGGCCCTGGCTTTCAGCTTCTGCTTCAAAATACCTTGTCGGTCTATAATAAGGCCTCCCTCATCTACAGTTTAATCGTTGATGAGAGGGCTGACCTGCCATGTACTACCAAGACCTGGCTGGGCCCAGAAGTAGGGGGGGTGGCCCTTTCCATGATATGCCCAGCTGGGTTTTGGGTGTGGCATCAACCAAGACCCCAGGGCAGGGGTGGGGGTGTGGTGATTGTCATACAGGAATCACTTATGGCCTTCAGGGGTACTGCACCACAGGTCACTGGATCTGAGACTCTGTTCAGTAAATTGGGCTCTAGGGATCATTTGGGATTGTTGCTCTTATACCAGCCTCCCTGCTGCATAGCAACCTCCCTGCCTTAGCTCCTTGACTCCATTTCTGGATTGGCAGTGGAGTTCCCCAGAATTAAAGTTGGAGGACTTTAATCTGTTTTCTCTGGGGGTCAGGTCTCAAGTGGCTCAGGAGCTCATGGCCACCATGATGGCCATGGGCCTATCCCAAGTCATCCAGGACCTCACACGGGGCAGTGGTCACACACCAGATCTGGTGTTCCTGTCAGAGCAATGGCTATGAGATCTGAAATTGGGGGAGTTTTTGGTGTCCCCCTTGTCATAGTCAGATCACAACCTGATTACCATGGGATTATCTGGCACTGCCATCCACTGCAGGGAGGCTGGATCCATTAGATCAGTCTGCCCCCAGTGACTGATGGACCCTGATGGGTTTCAGAGGGAGCTGGGGGTTGGTCCTGCTGGTCTGTTGCATGGTCCTTCTGAAGCTTGGTCACCGCTTGGAATAAGAGGATGGCTGATCAGATCACACCTATGCAACTTCTCCCCTCTCATGGATCCCAGCACTCCACATGGTTCATGGAGGAGTGAAGGGAGATGAAATGAGAGAAGAGACATCTAAGAGCATCACTGGAGTTTGACAGGGGACAAACTCAACCAGACATGGGTTAGTGTCACTATTAAGGCCTATCTTATGGCAGTAAGGGTAGCAAAGCGTCAGTACTTCTTCACCTTTTTTGCGTCTGTGGATAGGGTGACACATGCCCTCTTGGGTAGAGGGGGCTCGGAGAACCCCCTGCAGGGGCATGCAGAAAAATTTGTTCAGCATCTGTCAAAGTCACTCAAATTCGCTTACAGTTGGATGCTGACCTAGTTGCAGGTCTGGGGAAATGCCTGGGGAGGAGTCTTGCCTGGTTATCTGGGATTGGTTTGAACCTGTTTGGCCTGATGAAGTGGACACAGCCTTTAGGACTCTGAGCTCGGCCATCTGCTCATTAGATCCCCTCCTGGCTTGTTCAGGTAGCCCAGGGAGTGTTGTGTGAGTGGGTTCTAGCGATGGTAAATTCTTCCTTGAATGAGGGGGTTGTTCTATTACCTCTTAAGGAGGCCTTGGTTTACCCCCTCCTCAAGAAGCTATCACTGGATCCCACTATACCAGACAACTTTCATCCAGTAACTAACCTCCCCTTTCTGGGGAAGGTGGTTGAGAAGGAGGTTGCAAACCAGCTTCAGAGAAGCTGGATGAAGCAGATTATCTGGATCCTTTTCAGTCAGGATTCAGACCCGCATATGGGATAGAAACAACATTGGTTGTGCTTCTGGATGATCTCTGGCAGGGATGGGATGGGGGTTGGGCATCCATCCTTGCCCTACTTGACCTCTCTGCAGCTTTCAATACCTTTGAACATGGTATCCTTCTGGATCAATTGAGAGGATTGGAGGTACATCTCCTTTCTCCTTGATTGATTCCAGTTGGTGGTGATTAGGGGAGAGAGATCCCACCCTCAGTCCCTATTGTGTGGGGTGCGGCAAGGGTCAGTGCTCTCTCAGCTCCTATTCAACATCTATATGAGGCTACTGGGTGAGTTAATCTGTCACCATAGGGTGAGGTATCATCACTACACTGATGATACCCCATTATATCTCTGCTCCTGGTGAATTAAGCAATGCTGTTGATGTCCTATCCTGTGCCTGGAGTCTATGGGGATCTGGATGGGGAAGAACAGACTTCAACTGAACCCTGTTATGACTGAGTGGCTTTGGGTTTTGGGCCCTGCCAGTTCTAGGGCTATACCATCTTTGGTGCTGGATGGGGTTGTACTGCCCCAAACAGACCCCGTGCACAATCTTGGGGTTACCCTAGACTCACAA